AGATAATTGTACCGACTATAATTATTATATAAGATCATTATGAAAAAACAGGCAAATGTAGTTAAAATAATTTAGTACTGGAAAAACAAGGTAATTGCAAACATCACTAATAAATAAAAGTTAGTCATAAGCCAATTAAGGCCTTGAGGCTCTGGACGACAAAAGCATCCTGGCATTTACAGTGCCGAAAATAATCGACAATATTAAATTAACAATACCTATCTAATACTACAGCATGTCAAGCAAATTGACGAAAAGACCACAATCTGTGTTCGGTTATATATTTCAATAGACAAAAATAACCTAAGTTACTTCTAAAAACTAATGCAATGTAACCTATTAAGAACAGAACTGCTCAGTTGTTAATAAAGGCCGTTATATGGAGCATTGCACCTTCACAAGATCTTTTGACAATCAAGTGTAAAAGTAGTGTGCTAGCAATTTAGTATAGTCTCATCTTACCATATAACCTTAATTGGATCGAGATCTATTCTATGTAACTCCTGAAATTTGTTTATGTATTAACTCTCTACATTATTCTTGAAATAATATAAAAGTTAAGCCTCAACCACCTACGGATTGCGAAACATTGACAGATGATGAAAATCAACGCGTTACTTTAAAATGTCGCTATCATGAGGATTGCTACTTCGGCGAAAGCTACAAATATGATTTCTATTTGGGTGTAAGAGATTCATCTGAAAAGCCTAAAAAGGTAATTTATCCTTATAATCGATAACTTGCTACATAATTTCAAAATTAAATAGGGTAAGGCTAATTAGTAGCGCAAGATGGATAAGCTAATAAACTGTTATTTTGAAATTAAGTTACAGACACTTGAATAAATCTCTGTATAGAAAGTTCAGAATTCTTATTATTAGTATCTAAATTCAATCATCATCTAATTTACTCCTGCAGTTTACAGTAGAAGACTCAATTTCCAAAGTTCTGGACTATTCCTATTTTACAGTAAACGTAAACTACTACTGGTACGCTCTCAGTGTGGTTTCATTTACTGGTCAAAAAAGCGATTTTACCGATCAAATTAATTTCACACTACCTAATTCCAAGCCAAAACCGCATTCAATTACTTCATTATCTACGGATCCTATAATAATGTCATCTATAACGTCCTTCGTAACGAGTTCAACAATTGCTATCTTAACGCAAGCACTACTTATAACCAATTCAGTAAGCACAAGATCGACTTTAAATGTGCCTTCGGTCAGTTCTACATCTTTAAGACCCACTATATCTTCGTCGACATCGAGTGGCATATCTATAATACCGACTAAAACATTATCGTCGACGAGTAGACAACATTACCCGTCAACTGCAAAAGAACCTACAAAAAAGTCTACAAAATCTACGACTAATTCACCAGTAACTTTGTCACCATCATCCTCGGTTCCTAGATTTACGAATAATACTCTATCACCTGATATCACATGCAAAAATCTAGGTAAACATATTTACAGATCTAGGCCAAATTAAAATTCTACATACTTTCTCTCTATATATTACGGCTAATGTATACGTTATATACTTGCGAAGTTTTATAACAAATAAGCGCTATATTATTTCGATATGATGTCATTACGACAATTTTATCTAGCTTGCAAATAATATTTAGACAACTCTTCTATTCTCTACGAATTTATATTATAATCATATTATCTCCATAATATTTCAATCTAACATTTACTTGAGGCAATACCTGAAATAATCCGGTCAAAAATAGATATAGGCTAGATTAAATTACTAATCTAGTTGTACCATAAATTTATAGCGTATTATAGCCTGACTTAGATTAGTTAATCGATTAATTATTAGAACTGTATCGTCAATAGTGCGAATAATTATCGGAGTACTGAAACAGTTTTATTTTCAAAATGGAACAGTATCATTAAATTAAGTAAAAAAAAGTACTAGAAGTTAATTATACCATGGTTTTGAAATAGTTTTAACTTAGCTATGATAATAATTAGTACTGTATCTTCAATAGTTCTAATCGTTATCGGAATGCCAAAAGTTTTATTTCCGATATTATTAAGTTAAATGTAAATTAAAGTATCGAAGGTTGACTATTTAGTTTATCATCTTCCCACATCTATTTGTAGTTCTTAGAAACACGTTTAATTTATTTCAATATTTCAGCTAAATTTATTTCTTAGTATTAAAAATCTTTAGGAGTAATTAATTACCTTAGCAATATTGTATAATTCTATAGAGTAGTCTATTCAAATTCAGTAGAAGATATAATGGAAATACATTCATAAATTTATAAATAACAGTATCGATTAACTTTTGTACCTAGAGTGAGCTCTTTGACATTATCTACTTTACTATAAGCTAATCACATATCTAGTAACCCTGCTAGAAGTAACTTCTCGGTCTTTTTAGGGTTCTTTGTTGTAAAAGACATCCAATAAATACTCCGATTGTCAATATATCCGTACATAGCTAATAATGCTTCCTCTATGTTACATTTCTTATTGTTAATCACTTTGTTGTATAATCTTTCGTATCAGCTTTGAATCGATTCGCCTAATTTTCGCTTAATATTAGATTTAGATCACTTGCCAACTGTTCGTAATGTGAAGTTAGTAATGGAATGTGATACATGCAAGATTAATTGGTATCCACCAAATATTAATTCCCGATGTCTGCCTTTCATTCAATACCAAGTTCATTATGATATTCTTCGGATATTTCCAAAAATATTAATCAATGGAATACTGTTTGTGATTCTATAAATGATACAAGTTGTCAGTTTCCAATCAACAGTAGTACAGTAGGTTCTACTTTAATCTATGAAGTCATCACTATATTTACATGGACAAATTCGAAGTCTAAATTACGTAGACAGACTTATCTGGACTTTCGCTGTAGGTTTTTAACGTGGAGTGGCTTTTATTTCTAGATTGATATTATAATATTAACAATTTTAGAAGGGATTAATTAAATAATAAGGTATGATATTGTTGCATTTGATAATAATGGAAATTATGATTTAATTTGTATATTATATTAGTTAAACCGGAAAAACCCAAGGATTGCTATAGCTGTATCGATTATCATCAAAGAAAGGTCGAATTAACTTGTTATCATTCTGAAAGGTGCCTAGCTGTAACTGCACATATATACAATTTCTATCTATTGCAACAAAACTCAATCTTTAAAGTTTTAGAGGTAAATAATAATACATGGTAACATCTTAGAGTTAATTTCTATTTCATGGAAAATTGAAGGATTTGCAATAGCTTAGAATAGTCCGGTAATAAAATAGAGAAGTATTTAATATTATAAGTAACACCTTTATGTGATAATTTTAGCCATATTACATAAACTTAGAATGGTCCAGCATTAACATAGAGATGCATTCAACACTGTTAGTATTACATTTAGGTTGTGATTTTAGTTATATGCCATAAAAAACAAAGATATAGGAGGTTATAGTTAGCACTAAAATTTGGCGATCTATCATTATTTTCAATCATAAAATTAGTAATTTCGAAATTAGGAAGGTTTATTATATGCATTAGAAGGACGTATATTTCAGTTAGATAAATTAAAACCAGCACAACAAGTAGAAGATTACTGTCTTAACGTATCCCTAAACTTAATCTTAATTTCTCTCTAAATCAAATCATCTAATCCTCTTTCATATACCTACGCTACTTAAATCATTATCAAATGAATATCTTTTAACCACAGAGGGTATCAACCTTGTAATATCGTTTTCACAGTAATTTTAGTCCACAGAGGAATCCAGTACTATAAAAGCTTTTTATTACAAGGTTCTAAAGAATAGTACAGCAATAATTAATTACTCACAAGAATCTAGTCTAAAGTAATCTGAGCTCAATTAGATATCAAATCTTTTCTCCTCCTTTACGCTCAGATTTGTACACCTTATATACTTTTCTCTGAATCTATTTAAGGCAATAACATCGTCTACAATCAGACATGAATCATCACTACATTTTACAGTATTAATCAAACTGCTACAATATTATTACTTTACCATTAATGTCCAACACCGTAAGGTATTGGGCATCTTTACAATCTTAGTATTTCAAGTCGTATAACGTCCTGTACCATAACTAGTTAACAGCTATATTAGTGAATAACACCTTCTAATATAGTAGTTACCAGTCACCTAAATCTAGCAGCACAAGAATATCTATTTTTAGAAACTTAACTATTCTAAATATAGTACGCAACACAATCAAATATAGCTATCGCTACAAGCAAATATAGGGTGCATCACTACAAACCTGCATACTGTACATACGAAATCAACTAAATGCTACTATTCAATATAAATCATTGATTTTACCACATTATCTCGATATCATAGACTATTAACCTATCATAGCTCATCGCAATGCAGGCATTATTATAATCTATCAGAATTTATTAATAACTTACATTCCCACATGTTTACCATTATTACCTATCAGAAGCGATCCCTATAATTGATTAATGTATCTAATAATAATTAATCGACAAGAATAAATTAATCCAAGTTGGAAGTTAAATTGCAGCACTACTGAGGTATTCTGAGCTTCAACGCTAGTAATCTTTGCTATTTCAGTCCTAATCTTTGTAGCACAGAATAGCTAGCCAATACTTAAAAAGATTTATGATTTTCGAGTAACACTTTACTCTTTCAGTATCGTATTTATCTTAGAAAAGCTACTAATGACTTCAATATCAAGCAGTTGCCAACTAAAATGCGTACAAATATATATATATTAACATATACATAAATAATTCTTATTTTTCGCTACCGAGTATTTTAATTTTATATTATAGATTAAATGTAAAATATTTAAACTTTACTGGATAATATTTACACAATTTGTTCATATTAGATCCCTCAAAGTGATGCTAGTACCTTGGCCATCGGATTTAATCATCTTAAATATGATACTAATTACTATTGGTTTAGTAATGCTGTTAATAACTACAATATAAGCAGCGACAATTCGACCATGTCGCATTTTTCTATATTATCAACAAAAGCATACGCTAGCTCTGTTGGTACTCCATCTACTATTTGTGAATATCTAACTATCCAATCTGGAAGACCTGATAATCAATGTAATGATACAGGTTGGCATCCAATATTAGCTTTATTAAATAGATCATATACAGATTGAGTAAACGAAATATTACATCAGATAATGATTTCTTTTTACTAATTAATACTGTAATTTAATTCAACATTTTTCATGCAATCTTCTAGAAAGTAATCTACTTCTTTATTAACAGCTATCAGAGAATGACTACTGTAGCATAATGATACCATAAGAAATGATAATCTCTGTTTTAAATCCGCTCATCAACTTTAAGTGTAGTAGCGTTATAATAATCAATCAAAGTTTACTATCGTAAAAGTTTAATCTTAAGATTATAAGTACAATTAAAGGACTACTTTAATCAAATACTCATATCCGTCTACAATACATAGGATTTTCCGATCTTAGATAAAAACAATGTTCCCGTTTTACTTATTGTACAAGTTTAAATAAATCTTCATAAGCTATCTGAATAGAATAGTACCGTGCCATACTGACTTTGAATATAATATCACATCCAGTTCTTTTACTCATTAAAGTCTGACTTATAACTATCTTCGAGTCAAGTTAACTATCGCACATTATATCATATACCATTACTAATTCCAAATTAGATTATGCATCTGATGTATTATATATATCCTTTCATTTGATATTTCATCCCTGAAAAGTATTAAATGTATCGTGTGTATCTTTAGGTGTTAATATTAGCAATGTTAGACTAGAAGCTACTTGGACGGCAGTCTATGTTAAGTGGGATACCGAAATTGCGAAAGCCGAAGAAAATTGTTCATTAAAAGTTTATTATCAACTGGAGTATGCTGTTGTCAGAAATGGAACCGATACTGATAATTGGATGATAGCTTGCAAAAATATCACTTCCAAGGAATGCTTTTTCAAACGAGATTGTTCCACGCTAAATAAATCACTTATCTACAAAATAACGGCTACAAATCACCATGGTCAAATCTTAACCGTTAGCAGTAATCAAACTTATTTTCCAGGTCAGTTTAAGCAATACAATGGATATAAAATTTTAAATAAAACGATTCATACGTACAACAATTCAAACTTTCATGAGCAGTTGTACAAATTGGTAACAGTGGTTTATTAACCATTATTGATTAACGGAAACGTGTCTTATTAAAGCGTAAGATTTCACGCTATAAGTTATTAAGTCATTTTAGTATTTATATTAGTGACCAGTTTTAAATAAACTGATTCATACATTCTGTAATTCAGATTTTGATATAAAGTTGGATTAATTGCTAATAGTAGGTTTGTCGACCATTAGTGAATAACCAAATAAGTCTTTTCGAAATAAATTGTTTTGTTGCGTGTACTACTACGAGTCTTTTTAGGATTTTTGGTAGTGGTTATAGACTAACTGTTACACTCCTGTAATGTAACTTAGTATTGTGATTGTAGATTGCTAGCCATGTTTAGTATAATGTACGGTAGATATTATCCTAAGATATACAGTATTTGGTAGCTATAACTATAGACTGTAGTGGTAGAGACTCTATGCTAGAGTACAGATGACTATATACAGTAAGTTGTTGAGTTACTGATAAGGTTATAGGTAAGAATAGAACTGTAAATCATATATTAGGATATGGTTAATTCATTGTACTTGGGCTGGTCTGAATAATGTCTACGTAAGTACTGTAGTTGTATCCATATTGGATTGATGATGGTCCGCAGTAGAATAGTCTTACTAAGAATAATTTAACTATGTGTAATATAAGGTAAAAGATTGCCATGCGGATTGTAGCTGCGAATGCTACGGAAAGTATAAAAGCATGCAACTTTAGATTATTCTGTTAGTACGTTCAAGAAGTCTTTAGAAGTAGTATTCGGCTAGAGTAGAGCTGTGTAGTTGATCTTTGTATATGATTCAAGAAAGCCCTTATTTTTCTAAAATTTTGGAATTTCGTGATTGGTATATATCACAACTCCACTAGTGACAAAGTTGTTTAAAAAAGCCAATCCTTGCAGAGAATGCCACTTACTAACTTAAAGAGGCGAAATTAGCTATATCACCAAATAATTCAGTTCCAACGACCGAATACTATAGTATAATTATAGCGTTACTAATAGTGTAGACGAGGTGGTCAAAGATTTACTACTATTTATTACTAAAGAAATCTTGGCACCCACGATTATAGTCTTTACGATTCAATAGCAATTGATAAACTAGTTGACTATCTAGCCGACTAACTAACTAAAAAGGGATCTTCAGGCACCAGCCTTTTATAGTCTCGTCAGAATCTCCTGGTGTACATAAAGTAAAACTATCCTTCTAAACTTATAGTTAGGACGAGCTTACGCATCGTAACACTAATATATAGACCGTTTTGGAGAAATATGAATAGGTAGAAACTATGGTACTAACAAATAGAGATACAATAGCTGTTGCAGATGAGATACGACTACAGAAAAATATTGAAATTAATGATAACATATATCATAGCGGCTTAAGCAATATTCAAATCCTTATAAATAAAAGGAAGAGAAATTTAGGTATTATCAATTACAAAATAATCTATATTGAAAAAGTGGCATGGAAGAAATGTAAATGCGGCTTTTATGAATACGTTACCATCACAACATCAAATAGTCCTAAGCGCTCAATTTGCGTAGAATCTTGAGATTAATTTAATATGCATAGCATCAACCTCCATGGAAATCCAGCATTATTAATAAACTAAGACTTTAGTATAACTTTTGTTTGTAATGAACTTCTTAGTGAATCCGAAATCTCCGGAACTCTGTAGCCTCAAAATGGTTGATAAGTATAAGAAGGAGAAATTGGTTCTGTCTTGTCCAGGAATGGCTAATGATTGTGACTGGGTCAATATTAAAATCAAAATATGGCATCCGAATAGCACTAAAGTTAGTAACCATAATGAATATTTTTGGGTCCAAAAAATCGTGACCATTACTGTACTATAACAAAAATAAACATAATTATCATCGTTTACAATTAGCGAAAGTTCGTTAGCCTATAAGGCAAGATGAAATGATGCTAGATGCCATTGTTTTTTATCGAAGGATCCAGATTTATATATCGTTACTCAGTACTCTTGAATAGTTGTCTAAATTCAAAGTAAAACTTATTAATATTTTAAATTAGGAGAGTTTTCGTGCAATATGCGGTAGTCGAACTAACAAGAAATTTAAATTCATACTTTATTACTTTGGAGGCACTTTATTTTATGAATATTCGATCGCTTTATTGTAGGCTAAGGTATTCTCATATAGCTACACACGCTATCGATCTATCGTAATTATGTCTCAAGATCAAATCCATAAACTTGCAAGGATTATAACATACTTTTGGCAAGCAAAAGTCGAAAATTTAGCTGGCCTAGAAAGCTCTTACACTACAATACGAAGCTTCAAGCCAGATTTCAGTAAATAAATTTAATTTTTAATATTATATCAATCGCTGTTTTATATGCTATGTAATTGAAGTATTCAAATTATTGGAATGCTGCTAAAATTTATCTTTTATTAAAATAATTTCCTTTACAATTATTAACTTTCATTAAGTTGATGGGAGATTGTATTTACCATTTACATGTACCTTACTATAATTTTATGCGCAATCTGAAATTTTCTATGCTAACTGCAAGATCCTATACCGTTTATTTTTACCATGATATTAATCGCCTTTTAATATCGTTGCTACGGTAGAAAATAATTACTTCCTTGTAAATTTCATTTCTTGAAAAAACTAATCAAATTTATTGAATTCACAGATCCTTCACATACCATAAATACTATAGTCGTCGTTATAGGGACTGTCTTTGGCATTATATTTTTACTTGGTATTTCATGCATTCTACGCTTTCGCAAACATAGAAAATTAAGTGAGAATAATGTGCATGAATCACATCGTTCTGAATCGCACTATGATGAAATTTCGGTAGCAGAATCAATAAATCTCAAAACTCTAAGGTCAGAAAGTCGAATCAGAAATCCAAATGCTTCACCCCACGATATTACATCCGAAATAGGACGCTATTTACAAGGATAGATTTAGACCAAATCAGCATGATTATTACTTATGCTTCTTAAATTATCATGATATTTTGGCTTTGCCCAGTTTAATTATTGTTTATAAACTAGGTTAAAGATAAACTTATAAAGTTATGCTGATTTTGGTTATCAAATTTAATATTAACAATGGCCTCAATGTAGTAGTCCATAATTATAATTAGCATAAATAATTTTGAATAACTGTAATTAAGGGTATTATTAACAAGAACATATTGGTAGCAATATATAACGGAATTAGCGTTGATGGATTTTAAATGGTTATGAATGCAAGAAGTAGTGCAACTGAAATAACGTCAGTTATTTTTTATGCTTATAGCATCATAAATTTTTCTATTACTTTGTAGCAAAAGATTAAACGCTTCTCAAGTGTAGGCAATCAAAATATGTTATTTCATGCTACCTATTTGAATTATGTCTCTAGATGAAGCTTAATAATTGGTAAAAATAAATAAATATAAATGAATAACGCATGTAATATATTGAAGAATGGTATTCAAATATAAATATATAAAAATCCGCGCCATACAGTGTAAGATCATTAGAGGTTCTTTAGAATTCATAGTTTAAATAATTAACTACTTTTGGCCGAGGTTAAGTAGAGTCATGTTTGAAACATTTAGAAGAGTTATCATTAAGTGATTGGATAACTCGTCTAAACTGGTTTAGTTGATCTTGATCTAAAACTTTCTATAAATGTGAAATTCAGTCTAGTTGTTAATGAGAAAGTTCATGTTTGCATAGTAATAAAGGTTATTTACCTTACCCAGCTATTGGCTATTTTTGAGTCAGACTTCGAATACTGGTTATAGATACGATCTAGTAATTAGACATCTGAGATTTATAAACGCTTAGAAGTTTTGTTAAGTACTTTGGTTTGGTAAGCTCAATCAATGAAATGATTGAAAAACTTCCTGGCAATCGTTTTTGTAATATTTGTTAGTAGTTCCAGCTATAATAGTAGTTGCTACATTGGCAAATTTTTATTTTATTTATAAAGCTGTAACCTCGCAAATATGTATCAAAGCAGAAATTGAAATAAGAATAACATTAAATTAAATTCGCATCATGATTTTCCTAGATTTTTACCATTTCAACTGCACAAAACATTTTATTAGTCTTCAAAAGTAACACTATTTTCACGATAACGCGGATAAGACTAGATGATAATCCTTTGCTAAATTACTCTACCAAGTATAATAATAAAACACACCACTAGTATATTAAGGAGGCAACTAATGTATTTAAATCGTGATTAGACTTCCCATTATACATATAAGATATATTAATGCAGGCTTTGTTTTATTTAATGTCAGGTGTCACAAACTTATGTTGCGAACTACTACACTAAAGTAATAGATTACTTATGCCTTGCTCCACTATACCTGGAGATCTGCTGTATGGTAGTTCTTTACTACTTTCGGTCACACACGGATAAGACTGTTCTAAAAGATTAGTATAGTTTTTATTAGTAGAGTAGCCGAGTACCTTCTCGTACACGATCTAATAAGGAACTCAGGAACTGAGCATTCGCTCGTCCTTTTATACCATTCCACTAAATTTATGGTGCACACATAGTAACTTGACAATATAAGATTTACATGATTTGTATACGCGATAATCACACGATAAGTGCGCGATAGTCACACGATAAATGCGCGATAATCACACGATAAATGCGTGATAATCACACGATAAATGCGCGATAATCACACAATAAATGTGCGATAATCGCACGATAAATGCATGATAATCGCGCGTACGTAGCGGGTGCTAACGTATCGCCATTATTAATATCTACTGTATATAGGCTCTACTAATTAATTGCAAATACAATTATGCCTTTTGTCGTCTAGCAATCTAGACATTAATATTCTTAATTTCAATTACGCTTACCAATATGATCCATTAGCTAAATACTGACAAAATCTATTTAATTAGCAAGTATAGTGCTTTGCTCCGTAACATCAGGTTATTGCGAATATAAAGGTATAGGGATCCAGGATACATCACAAAGCATACTTATTTTTCACAGCATTTAGGTAAAGATTCAATACCCATAATGAGGAAAAGAAAAACTATTTTATCGGCCCTGCCCTTTGTTCCATCAAATTCTTATAACGAAGATGACATAGTTATGGCAAGATGATGAATTTAGTCTCATCATTATTCTATTTCGAAAATTAATGCTTATTAAACTAGA